TTGTCATCGTAAAAAAATGAGAGATGGTTGGCTTTTTCGTCCTTAATCTCAAATTAATTAATTTTAATTAATTAATTAATGTTTTGATGATAAAAAACCTACGTTCCATTATTAACAATTCTGTCTTTTGTCCACAATGTAAGGTTGGGAATGACAATTTCAACGTTTTTTTTTCACTCAAATTAGAGCTAAAATGAAGAAGTTTCAGTCAAAACAAGATATTGGACGTGATGATGTTGTGGCAAAATTGACATCATGGACCAATCAAATTCAAAACAAGATACCCGACGTGGTGATGTGGCGACAAAATTGACATCACATACCAGCGGCAAAATTTACATCATAGACCAATTAAAGTATAACATTTATAACTTCGTTAGAGTAATAAAGGGTGGAGTTTTCCATTACTTTTAAATTAAAATAAAATTATTTGAATTATAAAAAATTCTCAATTACATTTATAAAAGTTTTCGATTAATTTTAAATCGAAAGAAAATTATTTGAGTTATAAAATTATTTCAATTACATAGATGTATAATTATTTCTATTAGATTTATAAAACTTTTCGATTACTTTCATTATATTATTACATTTAAATAAATAAATAAATATATATATATATAATAAAAATAAAAATTTAATATTTTTAATATTTATTTAAAATAATATATATATATATATATATATAATTAAATAAATGAAACATGCGTTCTATAATTTTTCACGATAAATTTAAATATATATATATATATATATATATATATATATATATATATATATATATATATATTATTTTTCGTGATCCACGTTTCCGTTTACGTTTTAATAGTCTGTATCCATTCTTATTTTTACAATATTATCACTATTTAAACTCATCCTCTCTTCATATTTTTCATAACACATCACACATCACACAATATACAATACTGTTCTGGAAAATATGAAGAAGGTGATGAGTTGTGATAAGTTATTAAAATAGGAATTGAGAGGGACCACTAAAACGTGAACTAGTGGACCACGAAAAATAATATTTATTTTTTATTACAGACCACATGTTTCATTTATTTAATTATATATATATATATATATATATATATATATATTATTTTAAATAAATATTAAAAACATTTTAAATTCATTTTTATTATATATATATATATATAAATATAATAATATAATTAAAAAAATGTTAATGAAAATAACCATTTGAAAGTAATTGAAAATTTTATAAATTTAATTAAAATAATTATAAAAGTAATTCAAATAATTTTATAATTCAAATAATTTTCTTTTCAAGTAACTGAAAACTTTTATAAAATATGTAATTTGAAATAATTTTATAATTTAAATACTTTTTTTAATTTAAAAGTACCAAACACTTTTTCTTTTAATTTAGAAGTAACGAATGCTTTCAAAGTAACATAAAGCTTTTATAAATGTGATTGAAATAATTTTATTTCAATTTAAAAGTAATTGAAAATTTCACCCTTTATTACTTTACCAAAGTAATAAATGTCATACTTCGGTCTATGATGTCAATTTTGCTGTTGGTTCATTATGTCAATTTTATTATCACATCATCACGTCGGGTATTTTGTTTGGACTGAAACTTCTCCGTTTTAGTTCTAATTTCAGTGAACCAAAAAAGACGTTGAAATCGTTATTCCCAACTTTACACTGTTGACAAAATACTGAAAATTGTTAATAACTGAAGGTAGGTTTGTTATCATCAAAACATCAATTAATTAATTAATTAATTTAAGATTAAATGGCCAAAAAGCCAACCATCTCCCCCTCGACAAACCATTTCAAGAAAAATAATATGACGACAAACCATTTCAAGAAAAATAATATGAAATCCATAAATTCATAAAACTTAAAATAATGCACATGTCTACATCATCATAGACATTCTTATATATCATCATAAAATATTTTTCTTAATTTCTCCCCTTTTGTAATCATAAAGGAGAACAGTAAAAAAAAATAAAAGAATGACATGCTCCCCTAAGAATATACCTTTAAACCAGATTATAAAATTCAAGATATATCACACCAAATAATACCAAACTCAAACCTATTTTTGCAAAAAAAAAAAAAATTCTTCATTTAACGGCTTGGTAAAAATATCTGCTAATTGATTATTAGAGTTTACAAAATCAAAAATAATATGTCTATTTTGTGCATGCTCTCTAATAAAATGATGTCTAATGTCAATATGTTTAGTTCTAGTGTGATAAAGAGGATTTTTTTGTTAAATTAATAGCACTATGTTATCACAAAATATAGGCACACTGTAATAGCCCAAAAATAAATAAAGAAATAAACAAATAAAAAGTTCAAATAATAATAATAATAATAATAATAATAATTAATTAATTAAAATTAAAATTTTAAAAAAAAAATCTTTCCCCACCTCTCTCCACTAACCTCTCATCCCTTCGTACGATTATCTCTCCTCTACCCATCTTAGGCCAACTGCAAAAAAAAAAAGAAATAGAAAACAAACAATGGTTAGATTTGAGAAGAAGTAAAATGGCTTTCAACAGATTGCAGATATTATGGCTTTGAACCGATTGCAGATATTATCTCTTCTCTACCCATCTTAGGCCAACTGCAAAAAAAAAAAAAAAGGAAATAAAAAACAAACATGGTTAGATTTGAGAAGAAGTAAAATGGCTTTGAACAGATTGCAGATTTAGAGATTTTTGTCAGTTATTACGGTAAAATTCTATCTCAAATTTTCTTTTCCTTTGTATAGTTATGGTGATAAGAAATTAATTTAGGATCAAATCTTCTTTCCTATATTAACAGTTTGTAATAGTCAGATCCCATATACAATTATTAGATTTTTGTTAGCATTTTAATTATACAAAAGGTTATAAGTTAGATTCAATTAAATTTTAGGTGGCAAATCTATAAACTAAAAGATAGTAGCCTATACTTAAAATTGGTCAGTAATATCTGTTTACACAATTGAAAAACCTATTTACAAAATGAAAAAGATGAGAGAGAGAGAGAGGGAGATTGAGGAAAGATTTGTTAAACAGTATTTAACCATAATAGAAAATATCAGAGGCAGTGAGCTCCTTTCAATTTTGTGTAACAGAAAACATTCAGAATTTTCATCAAAGGAATAGTGAGCTTCTTTAAATTTTGTCCAACAGAAAAGATCAGAATTGGCCAATGTAAATTAGAGTAATAATTTTATAGAGATAAAACTTGAAACTGATGTCATGAGCTCATATAGGTTGACTCGGATTTCAAATGACGGAATCGAACTTTCATTAAAGATATATTTGTGACAACGACTTAAGCTATCCAAGTAAGTGACCTTACTATCGGCATGGTTATATTTGATGTTGACACGTGCCCTGTGGTTCTGTACGTGTCATATATATTGATATGTGTGAATTGTCTGTGAATCAATATGCTTCCTATATGTTATGTTATGTTATAATATGTGGTTTGTATGATAATAATTATGGTACGATGTGCTCAAGGATATGTTTGAGATAGGGTACGAGAAGAATGCACAAAACGAAATGTAACGATAGGAGTAAGATACGTTCATGAAACGTTAGAGTTAGGTTACATACCGGAGTGCTATGGATAGGAGAGATTGATGAAAGAATACGGTTAGGTTATGGGTAGAAAGGGATAGGTTTGTGATAGATTGATAGAACGATAGCGTTAGGGTACGTTCTTGTGACGATATGACTAAGGTACGTCACGTAATGATATGTCTGTGATAGGTATAAGAACGTTAAGGCTATAGTAAGTTAGAGAACGATATGACTATGAAGTGTTTACGTTATGACTTGGTTATGATATGATACATTGTATGCTAGATTATTGTGCTTAAATACGAAATCATGTGAACGTGAATGTATGTTATTTATGCTACTTAATTGATGTGATATGAATGCATGTGACGATGTGTGGCCCTTGTACGATTATGGCTTGTTGTATGAGTATTGGAATGTAACTGAATGAATTGTATGAAATGAAATATGGTAAATTGCATGATACATAACCCCGCTAGGAATATGTATGATATGTAACGAAATGAGAATGAGAATGACATGTAAGCATGAAAACGTGACACGGGATTATGTTCATTAAATGATGACTGTAGGACTAGTGGGACCTCATGCATATTGTGTGATCATGCATTTGGGGGGATACCCCTATCCCATCACGAGGGTACGAACGCGTCATCCAAATGACAGGACAACGATCGTTATGCCTTGCATAGCGCTGCAGTGACGGTTTTAGTTTTAACGGGTCTCGGTGGGCCCTCAGAGCATGCCCACCAGCTAGGGACAGTGGCCCAGCGGTGTGCGAACTAGCTGGTGAGCCCATACTCGCACGTATGGGCTGCATATAGAGTATATGGTACACGTCCACGATTACCTGTTAGGATTACACCGTAGGGAAAACGAAACGAAATGAAATGAAACGAAACGAAACGAAAGATAGGTCCCATCATTTCATTGCATGTGATTGTTGCATTTAACCCCAATAGTGGGGTCACTTACTAAGTATTTCTTTGAATACTCAAGCCATGTGCTACTACATTTTTAAGGTTAAGGCAAGGCATTCCTGTATAGCTGACGACGGCATCGCAACTCAAGATCATGACACATGCATAGGATAGTGGCATTTATTTTCTTAGACTTAGGATAGAATAGGATGTTTTAAACTTAAATGCTTATTTATTTTATTTCGAGTCTTTTGTTGTGTCGTTTTAAAGATGTTTTCGAAACACGTAAGTTCATGGCTGTGTTTTAAGCTAAAGGTTATGTTTTATGGAATTTAAACGAAGTCTTCTGCATTCAATGTTTATGGTACGTATACAGTAACGACCTTAAATTAAGTAAAAAATTTTGGGTCGTTACACACACTATCAAATTTTAATCAAAAATCACAAAGAGTTTGTTTCATTCAAAAAATTTGAGCACAACAACTAGCAACCGCGCTTCGGTAGTAGATAAGGCAACAAAATTTTGCTTTTTACTAAATCAAGAAACTAATGAACTACCAAGAAATTGACAAGTTCCACCAGTACTTTTATGATCAAAGTAAACTTCCCACAAAATCCGCATCAGAATATCCTACCAATTTAAACTCAACATTTTGATACCACAATCCTAAAAAGCAAATATTTAAATATTCTTTTAACATGTAAATGAGATTCCTTAGGACAAGATTGAAACCTAGCACAAAGACATACACTAAACATAATATCAGGTTTATTAGCAGTCAAATAAAGTAAAGATCAATCATACCTCGATAAGATTTTATATCTACACAATTACCTTTTTCATCCTTGTCAAGCTTGGTAGGTGTGCTCATTGGAGTTTTTGCAATCTTACCTTCGTTGAACCTAAACCTTTTGAGTAAATCCTTGGTGTATTTCTCTTAATTTAGGAAGATACCCTCTTTCAGTTGTTTGATTTGAAATTCAAGAAAGAAACTGAGTTCTCTCATCATACTCATCTCAAATTCATTACGCATACATTTAAAAAATTCTTCACATAAAAAGAATTGGTAGAACCCAATATAATATCATCCACATATATTTGCACTAATAGCGTCTCTTTTTCTTTAATTTTAATAAAAAGAGTAGTGTCGAGCTTACCCATTTTGAAATCATTCTCAATAAAAAAAAATTATAAGTCTATCGTACCCAGCTCTTAGAGCTTGTTTTAAGCCATAAAGAGTCTTTTTCAACTTATAGACTTCCTCCTTATTATAACCATTTAAGAATGCACTTTTCAAATCCATTTGATATAATTTAAAATTCTTGTAAGAAGTAAATGCAAGTAACATTTTAATAGCTTCTAATCTAGCAATGGGTACAAAAGTTTCTTCATAGTCTATACCTTCCTCTTGAACCTTGAGCTACAAGTCTAACTTTATTTCTAATGATATGTTCATTTTCATCAATTTTATTTCTAATGATATGTCCATTTTCATCAATTTTATTTCTAAAACCCCGTTTGATTCTAATGGAAATATTAGAGGGCCTAGGAACTAATTCCCAAACTTTGTTCCTTTCAAATTGATTTAGTTCTTATTGCTAGCTAAAATCCAAAACTCATCATTTTTGCCATCCTTAAGACTTTTTGGTTCAATTTGAGAAACAAAAGTAAGATTATTAAATAAATTAATAGATGAACGAATTTTCACACCTTGTTCGGAATCACCAATAATCAAGTTCTTGAATGAGAGAGGCATACTTAGTACTTTTGACACTGATGAAGAACCTTCTTCCTTCTTAAATATGTAAGCTCACTCCTCCTCTCCTTGAAAGAGTTTCTTTTCCTCGGTCACTGACAAGTAAATCTCCAAAATTTCTTTCTAAATCATCATTAGACTCATTAGAAATATTATTACAAGATTCATCAAATACCACATGCATAGATTCTTCTATAACTAAAGTTTTCTTATTGAAAACTCTATAAGCTTTAGTAGATGAATAACGAAAAAAAAATACCCATATCCGTCTTAGAATCAAAATTTTCCAGCTTTTCTTTGTTGTTCAAAATAAAACATTTGCAACAAAAAAAAGTTTGAAATACCCAATATTTAGAATTTTATTATGCCAAAGTTCATAAGGAGTTTAATAACATTTGCAACCAAAAAGTTTGAAATACCAAATATTTGAAATTTTATTATGCCAAAGTTCATAAGTAGTTTTATCTCAGCCGTCTAATTAAAACTCTATTTGAAACATAACGACAGTATTAACAGCTTTCGCACAAAAATATTTAAGTAAATCCTATTCATTTAACATTGATCTAACAAATTCTTATAAAGTACCATTTTTTATTTCAACCACACTGTTTTCTTGAGGAGTCTTTAGAGAGGAGAAGTCATGATATAAACCATTATCTTCACAAAATTTTTCAAATGCTACTATCCAATTCTCACAATGGTCACTCCTAATTTTAGTAATTAAAAAACCTTTTTCATTTTGAACTCATTTTACAAAACTAGCAAATCTTTTCAAAACTTCATTTTTTATGTTTTATCATCAAAACCCAAAAAATCATAACTATCACAAACATAGTAATTCCCTCCATAGCTAGCTTATTTAGAAGGACCAAATAAATTCATATGTAATAGTTGAAGAGTAGTAAAAGTCACATTTTTAGATTTGAGAGAGGACTTGGTTTGCTTGACAAACATCACAGATTTTATCTTTTTCAAATTTAAATTTAAGAAAGCCTCTAACTAATGAATTTTTTTTAGATATTTGAAATCAAATGCATACTAGCATGTCCTAATCTTCTATGCCATAACCAAGAATTATCATGCAAAGCCGAAAGATATTTATCATTTGTAGGACAATCATGTAAATCAATAATGTACACATTACTATCTCTATTTCTAATAATCAACATTTTTCTATCACTACCATTTTTAATTATTCAATTATTTTTATCAAATATAACTCTAAAACCTTTATCTTTAAACCATCAACTAAAAGTACATTTTCAAGTACCAGAGTCATTATCTATAATACCCTTACCAATTATTTTACCTTTCTTGTTGTCGCCAAAGGTTACTAAGCCACCATCCTTCTTGGAAAGACTCACAAACTTGTATTGGTTTTCCGTCATGTATCTTGAGCAACCACTATCCAAATACCACTTATTTTTTTGGTAGGCTTTCAAATATACCTAAAAACAAAAATATTCAAAATTATTCAAAATTGACCTTTTCGTACCTATACTTGTTTGAGTCCTAATAAGTTGGTTTTTACAGATTTAAGAATCATGTTTGCATTCATATTAAAAAACTTACCACAAGAGAAAAGACAACATCATGCAGGAATTTATTTCTTGGACTAAGTTTATGTTTTCTATTTTCAATAGAAAAATTATTTCTTAAAACATGGTTAAATTTTATATTTTGAAAAAAATTTCTTTTGGAAGGAATATTTTGAGAATTTTTAATTTAAAGCAATTAGGTCTAATATGATCTTCAACACTACACTAATGACATATATCTAGATTTATTACAGTGAGATACAAATACACTAATGACATATAGGCACAAATCTAGATTTATTATAGTGAGATACAGATTTGCATGTGTTAGGCTTAGACACAATGGAGATGCTTTAACAAATATTCTTTTAGAATTTGGTTTAGAACATTCATCAATATAGCCTAATTCTCTTTTATCACCATAAGGCTTACCTGCTTCAATTATTTTATTGAATTTTTGAACACATGTAGTTAACTTTTTAACGGACTCTTTAACCTTACCAAGTTCTTTCATAGTATTTGATTCCTTTTCTTTAAGTAATTTAATTAACTTATCTTTTTCACAACAATGATGCTCAAGAAATACATGCTTTTCACCGGGTATTTCAAATTTTTGATTATTCTCTCTTAAGCAAGAAATTTCATTTAATAAAAACTTATTTTTAATAATTGAAGCCTTATAATTCTTTTGAAGCATAATTTGAACCAAGTTTTTCTAAATTAAGTGCGATATCCTGAAAAACTTTAAATAATTCATGGTAAGAAAGATATTCAAGAATTACCTCATTTTCTTCGTTCTCTTTGTCACTATGAACCATGAAGCAAAAATTTGCGAATTTTTCATCACTTGCACTTTCATCACTATCATCCCAAGTAGCCTTCATTGCTTTCTTCTTGGATTTCTTAGATGATTTGAGGAGAGGACAATCCGGTCTTATATGACCCAACTTTTTGCATTCATAACATATTATCTCGTCATGTTTGCTCTTTTCACCTTTTTTGGTTGGTGAAATGTTTCCTAAATTGTTTCTTTCTCTTAATGAAATTTTTATACTTACGTATAAAGTAGACAACATCATCTTCATCAAGGGCTTTCTCGTCGTCGGAGTCAACTTTCAATGTGATGGACTTTAGGGCTATACTTTTTTCTTTTTGGATTCCTCCTCCATTTAGGGCTATACTTTTTTCTTTTTGGATTCCTCTTACATGCGCTCCTCCTCTTCCAGGTAATCTCATGCATCATGAGAGAACCAACAAGCTCATCCAAAGGAAGCTTTGTGAGATCTTTTGCTTCTTGAATTGCCGTCAATTTTGCTTCCCAACTTTTAGGTAGAGACCTAAGAATTTTCCTGACATTTTCAAAAGTAGAATATGCTTTTCCAAGATTTTTCAAAGTATTTAGAATATTAGTAAATCTAGTAAATATATCACTGATCGATTCATTTGCATCCATTTTAAATAGTTCATGAATATTAGTAGATCTAGTAAATATATCACCTATCGATTGCATCCATTTTAAATAGTTCATCATTATGAACTAACATGCTAATCTTTGTTTCTTTAACTTGATTTGTTCCGTCATGAGTTACTTCAAGAGTTTTTCAAATTTGAACACATAGATACTCTATTAAATTCATCACTACTTAGAGCACAATAAAGACAGTTTATAGCACTAGCATTAAGCTCCTCAATATTATTGACAATTATTGACAATTCATCAAATTCATCCTCCATTTTAAGCTCCTCAATATTATTAAGAGTTTTTGGAAGGGCCTTTACTCACGTTTAAAAATTGCAAATAAATTTTCATTCTAGCTTTACAAGTATAATTTGTTCCATCATAAGGAGGTCTAGAAGTGATTGTCCTTCACAAAAACCGCTTTTAACACATTGATTTGCCATAAGCTCTAAAAATAAAGTTTATAAAAAAAAAAAAAACAATAAGAACCCAATTGGGTCAAACTCTAATACCAAATGTTCGATCGATATGGCAATCCTAGAGGGGTGAATAAGGTTTCAACAATATAATAATTTAAACGTGATTAAATTTTTCTAATAAAAATAAAACTTAATAATAATTTAGAATTTAAATAGGAAAGGGTTAGAAAACATAAGACCGGTTTATAGTGGTTCAGTCAAACTCGACCTACTCCACTCTCTAAATGCCTCTTCGGAATTTGAATAAACCTTAACTCTTTCCTCGGATCAGAACCCAACTGGGTCAAACTTGACCTACTCCACTCTCCAAATGCCTATTGGGAATTTGGATAAACCTTAACTCTTTCCTCGGATCAGAACCCAACTGGGTCAAACTTGACCTACTCCACTCTCCAAATGCCTATTGGGAATTTGGATAAACCTTAACTCTTTCCTCGGATCAGAACCCAACTGGGTCAAACTCGACCTACTCCACTCTCCAAATGCCTATTGGGAATTTGGATAAACCTTAACTCTTTCCTCGGATCAGAACCCAACTGGGTCAAACTCGACCTACTCCACTCTCCAAATGCCTATTGGGAATTTGGATAAACCTTAACTCTTTCCTCGGATCAGAACCCAACTGGGTCAAACTCGACCTACTCCACTCTCCAAATGCCTATTGGGAATTTGGATAAACCTTAACTCTTTCCTCGGATCAGAACCCAACTGGGTCAAACTCGACCTACTCCACTCTCCAAATGCCTATTGGGAATTTGGATAAACCTTAACTCTTTCCTCGGATCAGAACCCAACTGGGTCAAACTCGACCTACTCCACTCTCCAAATGCCTATTGGGAATTTGGATAAACCTTAACTCTTTCCTCGGATCAGAACCCAACTGGGTCAAACTCGACCTACTCCACTCTCCAAATGCCTATTGGGAATTTGGATAAACCTTAACTCTTTCCTCGGATCAGAACCCAACTGGGTCAAACTCGACCTACTCCACTCTCCAAATGCCTATTGGGAATTTGGATAAACCTTAACTCTTTCCTCGGATCAGAACCCAACTGGGTCAAACTTGACCTACTCCACTCTCCAAATGCCTATTGGGAATTTGGATAAACCTTAACTCTTTCCTCGGATCAGAACCCAACTGGGTCAAACTTGACCTACTCCACTCTCCAAATGCCTATTGGGAATTTGGATAAACCTTAACTCTTTCCTCGGATCAGAACCCAACTGGGTCAAACTCGACCTACTCCACTCTCCAAATGCCTATTGGGAATTTGGATAAACCTTAACTCTTTCCTCGGATCAGAACCCAACTGGGTCAAACTCGACCTACTCCACTCTCCAAATGCCTATTGGGAATTTGGATAAACCTTAACTCTTTCCTCGGATCAGAACCCAACTGGGTCAAACTCGACCTACTCCACTATCCAAATGCCTATTGGGAATTTGGATAAACCTTAACTCTTTCCTCGGATCAGAACCCAACTGGGTCAAATTCGACCTACTCCACTCTCCAAATGCCTATTGGGAATTTGGATAAACCTTAACTCTTTCCTCGGATCAGAGCCCAACCGCTAGCCGCTCTTTTTACGAGTTCAAAAGCAAAATCGAGTTCAAAAGCAAAATCAATCATTTCCACGACTCAGGATCAAACCGGTACAATTGTCTAAAATTTTGTAGAAACACACCACAACTTTTTGAAAAAGTAAATTTACAATTTGATCGCTCACCTCATCGCTCACCTCACAACTATTTTCTCACAGTACAATTGATATCTCTCTCGATAAACAAAAAATAAAATTGGAAGCTCTGTAGAGAGCAATGGAGACTTTTAAAAAAAAGGTGATAGAGGAAACTATGGAAGTTGTGTATTGTGTTTTGTACTGTGTTGTGAAAAATATGAAAAGGGATGAGTTTAAATAGCGATGGAGTTGTAAAAATAGGAATTGATACGGACCACTAAAACATGAACCGAAACATGGACCATTAAAAATAATATTTATTTTTTTAAAAAAATTTATGGTGAAAACTATATACACATGTTTCATTTATTTAATTATATATATTATTTTAAATAAATATTATAAATATTATAAATTCATTTTTACTATATATATATATAAATGTAATAATATAATAAAAAAATGAATGAAAATAATGTGAGTAACCCTTGAAAGTAATTGAAAAGTTTTATAAATGTAATCGAAATAATTTTATAATTCAAATAATTTTATAGTAATTGAAAACTTTTATAAATGTAATTGGAATAATTTTATAATTTAAATACTTTTTCTTTTAATTTAAAAGTACCAGAAAACTTTTAGAAATAATTTTATTTTAATTTAAAAGTAATTGAAAACTCCACCATTTATTACTTTACTAAAGTTATAAATGTCATACTCTAATTGGTCCATGATGTCAATTTTATCACCACATCATGTCGGATATCTTATTTTGAATTCGATTGGTCCATGATGTCAATTTTGCCACTACATCATCACGTCGGGTATCTTGTTTTAACTGAAACTTCTTCGTTTTAGCTCTAATTTGAGTGAACAAAAAAAAAAGTTGAAATCGATATTCCCAACCTTACACTGTGGACAAAAGAGAATTGTTAATAATTGAAGGTAAGTTTGTTATTATCAAAAACATCAATTAATTGATTAATTAATTTGAGATTAAGGGCCAAAAAGCCAACAATCGGCTTATCGGCTCAGTATCGCTATAATATATTGATTTCTAGGTTTTCGGCACTTCTGAAACTGTTTTTGCCCTTATTTTTACCATATGAGGCCAGTATGGTTCCTAACCGTCAAAGACAAATTGTGCTAGGAGTTTTTTAGTAGATAGCATGAGATTTAATTAGGGTATATTAGGGAAGGTTCCTAAATTTTTATGTGGTTATTATAGGACATATTTAACCGTTGGAATTAGCGTGTTGTGAGTGAATTCGGACAAGGTCATCAAGGTAAGTGACCTTACTATTGGAGTTAACTTACTACGTGTTGTATGATGGTGCGTGCCTTGTGGCCCATGCATGCACCATATTTTATGTGACATGACTATATGATGTATGGATTATGTGATTGTTTACTCTATGAAAAGTAATGGATTATGTTGATTGTTGACTGTTGACTGTTTACGCTAGGAAACGCTATGAAAGATAATAGATTATGTTAACTGTTGACTGTTGATTGTTTACTCTATGAAAGGTTATGGATTATGTTGACTGTTGACTATTTATGCTATGAAAAGTTATGGATGATGTTGACTGTTATCTATTATGCTCTGAAAAAATTGTTGATCTGCTAGTATTATATGTCATGAAAATGTTGATCGATGACATGGATACACTAGTATTATTGAGTCATGTCATGAAATGCTTATAGAACCAGAATGTATTTTCATGTTATGTAATATGCCATGTAATGTAAGTTATGTGATATGTCATGTAATGTAAGAAATGTATATGTGATGTGAGCAATGCTTACGTAATGCCTTGTTAGGTATGTTACGGGACCTCATGCATATATGTATGTCACTTGTATCGGGATTCTTCCCCTTTTATGTTACGAAAGAATGAAATACGATATTTATGTTCGCCATGATATCATGCAGGCCCTTTTCTGTTATGTGGTGTCCGGCGACGTGTAATACGTTGTGCTCAACCAAGTCAGGCCCAGGGGGTACGTATACGAGCCCACCTGGTGGTTCCATGTGCGTGTACATGGGCCGTGAGTGAAGGAGTACCATGCATCCAACCCTACCTAGAATAGAAAAGCACCCAAGACCATCTAAACTTTATGAAAAGTTAGGTCCCGCTCATATGTTGCATGTGTTTGCATTTCTACCCCTAACAGTGGGGTGACTGACGGAGTATTTCATAAAATACTCAAGCCACGTGCTATCTACATTTTTCAGGTAAAGGCAAGGCGACAATGTACAGTTGACGGTGGAGCTGAGCACACCATGGAAGTAGACGAGGGGCATTTTTAGTAGTTTACGTTTATTTGACTGTTTTAAGTTAAAACATTGAACATTGTTTTATTTAGATTTATTTTGAATTCAATTACTGAGGGTTTTATTTTGGAGATATGTTTCTTTTGAATTTTTAGACCTTTATAAAAGACTTTGTTGTGTTTTCTAAAATTATTTATGACGAGCTTACTCGTAATGAGTTATGTATGGATAGATGACATCACTGATTAGATTAAGAAAATTAGGAACCTGACATTAAGATTCCACCAACTACCATACATCAATTTCACTCTAGTATAAACTTTTATCACTACTTTTTTTTTTTTCTTTGTTCTTTTGTTTTTCTTTAATGTGTTAAGTTGAAGGATAGATTTTGACCCAATTGTCCATATTTTTCACATTAAAATGAAATTATAAGTTGTTGAATTCAAAATCAATTACA